ATATTCAGCGTAAAAATCTAGTTTGAAACGATGGGTCACAATCCTACCTTTGCATTTGAAAAAAAAAACTTTGTATCCAATATGGCAGATCCAAGATGGCGGCCAAAATTTTATACCCAGTCAAAATGAAGTACTTACGGGTCCGCGGAATTGGCTAACTCTGGAACTCGCTAACCCCATGTTAAACGCCCTATCTTCAAATTTGGTCGATGAGAGGAACTCGCTAACTTGTTCGGTTTCGGAATTGGCTAGCTCCGGAACCCGCTAACCCGCTCTAGAGCCGGGTTAGCGAATTCCGTCCTCGCACGGAAGTCGCTAACTCGGTCCCTCGGCGGAACACGCTAACTCCCAATCAGAAGCCTCGCGAGCCATCCAATGGGAGCCAAACACGAATATTTTTGGCCAGTGTTGCCGAAAGTGTAGTACCTATATCGTATCGGTACCATAATGTCGTATTAATTACGATTAATTAGGAGTAAGAGCAACGTAGTCGATAAAATAAATATATTTAGAAGTATGTTTAACATTATTCCTATGATTATTATTGTGAAAAATGCATTATAGTCTTACCATAGACTAACCAACACAAGTAAACTTTACATCCCATTGTAAACTTTGAAGCTCGTTTTTAATGTCTAGTTCATGTCCGGTGACACTGATCGCTAGTGTCGACAAAAGTGTGTTTCTATTATTTTATAGTTAACTTCATGATTTGTTCTTTACTGTTTGGTTATATAACTAGGGGACGTGTTATTAGTTGTGATTAGAACGTTTTGTTTGGTTAAACGAGGTTTTAAATTACTGAAAACAAGAAACAATTGTAAAAAAAAAACACGACCTCTAAAGACAGTGCACCGGACAGAACTAACAATAAAACTGTCTTCAGCTGATCCATTAGGATGAGAAATCTACTTATATAAGGGAGTATGTTTTATCTATGATAGTAGCTTATTGGTATGCAAAAAGATAAAAATGCACATTTAATTTGGATCTATTACATGTTATGAAATATCTATTTTCGTAGTCCGCCATTTGTTTCTTTTATTCGAATAAATACCATTTTGTAAATTTCTGCAAATAAAATTATTGAGTTCGTATTTTATATACTGGGCTTGTAACCTTGAATCATAAATCATAATAAAATTTACACGTTAAACGTAATTAAAGAATTACATTGTAGTGGTAATGTATTTTTAAATAGAGCTATTGAAAATATTTATCAATACATTATAAAGTGGTAGGCCTAATGTATTCATGGATTGCATTAAAAGTTAGTCTATGCATAAATACAACTTGTAAATTTCTTTTATCGTAGGCTATTAGTGTAGACCCGGGGTCATCCTCTTAATTTTGTTGAATTAATATTAATTTTGCGTCTTTCAGTAGGCCTACTTTTTAAAAGTCTGGAGTTTTTCTCTAGGCTGATTCTATATGGATGCAGGCGTTCTTGTTTGTTACAATTCTATGAATTGGTGGTCATAGCTAAAATTGCTTAATCTTATCCAAAAACAAAGCTATTGTCTATTGTGTAGCTCAGTACTGGGGAACGGTGAACCGAGCAATGGCTTGGTATAGTTTATATCGATTGTGAAAGCAATATAAAGGAAACCCAACACTCAAATCAGGAAAATCCGTCAATTCGTTTATTAAGAATCGTGAATTAAAATTACCGTGTCACGTTTTATTATATGAATATTATATCTTCTACTATTTTTTACTAGTGGTGTTTAGGTGTACAATCTAAAAACGGTTTTATAACATGTAACATAAATCTGTTTTCCGTGTTTAAGAACTTGCGTGTATTTTAGCTTAGTTTCGTAGAGGTTTAATTATTTAGTACCAATTAAACTGAAATTTCAATAATTTTCATATTCTATTATTTTCTTTTATACTGATGGCATTTATATTTAAGATCGAAATCATAAACATTTAACTGACCATTGTACAGTTTAATAAAAAAAAACACTTTTTCATGATTTTTTAATTGTCTTTGAATTACTTTGGGCTAGTTATCTGTTAAAAGTGGAATTCATAACAAAAAACAATAACATTTACTGTATCTTTATTGACACTGACATTTTGAAATACGGCAGTGTACGATTATTTTGTCGTACAAGGTTGGCAACGCTCCGTGCAGTGGGTGCGGCCGGGTTAGCGACTTCCAGAGTTAGCGAATTCCGCCGCGAGACAAAATCGAGTTAGCGGGTTCCGGAGTTAGCCAATTCCTGACTGAGACGGTTAGCCAGTTCCAGAGTTAGCCAGTTCCGACACACGACCGAGTTAGCGAGTTCCTGAGTTAGCCAATTCCTACGTCTCGTACTTACTACTTTACAATGATCTGACGTGGTCCGGAGTTGATATCTTAAGAAATGTAGAAAAAAGTAGGGGGGGAACTCATTTAAAACTCACCCTGTATATACATATATATAAAAATTTGAACGAGTGGTGTTTTTGGCCTCTGGGGACATCAAAATGAAAAAGTAAATCGGTCCCGGGCCTAAGTCTTACCATGAGACCTACGGTAATAGCTACTTCCCTATAGGGAAATTCGCTAAAATCAGAGATGAATGTTATCAAAATATTTAATATTAACTATCAACTCTTAAACCAAAATATAATGAAACTTCGTCCACTGACCACTAGCGGGTCAATACCCAACTCAGACTCCAATACTCACTGTATGGCTAAACCAAACACTACGACACTGATGTCACCAAAACATTCCACGTCTCACTCGACCAAATCACCAATCAGCTCTCTACTTGGGATCCACAACTAGAATATCCGTCCTAGGCTATCCTGAAAAACTAGGATATCCCAGGCTTATCGGTACTGATAAGCCGGGTCAAAGGGCACTCGCTAACTTCGCCGCCGCCGCATGCTTACCTCAACAATCGGTGCGCGGCCAAATAGGTCTAGCATATATTTACCCCCCTAGGAAAAAGGCTCGTTACGAAGGCTACTAGTATAAATGTAGCCTACTTTGGGTTAGGCACAAAATAAACAATATCTGATATATAAGTTAGTACAATTTACAAAATATAGGCTAACCTAAAGATTATTGAAGAATATGTCGTTAACACTTTCTTCATGAACAATTCTATAACACAAACAAATCCTTAAATTATTGTAATGGCATGAACCCCATATAAATTAAACACTGTCATGAATGTTTAACATAAGGTTAATTGTAAATAATTAAACCAAGCCTTTCCTGTCGATTCAACTGTATAAACTCAAGTTGAGAAAAGTTATGATTATGAAAGTATGTTTGATAAGATAACAAGCTGTTTAGTAAATGTTGTGTATTGTGTATCTACCACAAATCCATATTAACTATTTTCTGTAATCACGGCACTAACGCGATTATGTCTATTGATTACGGTGACATTGTAATCTTCGACCTTCGTCTGCATTCGTAGTAACATCAAGCTAATCCACACGTCGCATCGTAAAGAATCAAACAAAAACAAATGGACTAACAAATGGACTAGATTGGTCCTTTACATATTGTGGCAATATTGTAAAATCTTTGTTGCGAAAACATTGAAGAAATTTTTTATGGCAATATTAGAGTGTTTTTCACAACAAAAACTTATCAAATCCACACATATAAATCGAGAATAAAATTTTTGGAACAATTAGAATTTTAAATTCCTTATTTAGAGCTAAAAATGTCAATCAAATTAAACAGTGGATATTCTGAAAATATTTAACACGTCTGCTACTGAGTGTCACATATATGCGACACCGCGGTCATTGCCACAGACCGAGGTATACATTTGAATCTTACACATAGACCGGCTGTCACTTGGTTAATAGTACACACAGACCATTTGGGAAAACCTGTAAAACAGTGATCTTTTACATTGTAATACGCTGCAATCGTGTTTGTAAATAGCTTACTCTTGTTTTTTTATTTTCTTATTTTGCAATGTTGCATATTTGCGACGCGCGGTCTGTAGTGATGACAATAGTTAAAATTTGTATAATTTTCTTGAAATAGCCCAAACGCCGCATATATGCGACAGTTCATGTTTGTTTGTTATCGAAGAAACTCACTTGGACAACCAAAAGTCACTAAGTAAACATCACAGAGACTCACTTAACAAAAGCACGCTCACGTTCTTTGAGGTCAAACGCACAACAAGTGGACAGCAATGCAATCAAACTAAACACAGTTTTCCCAACTGTCTTATGATGTCACTAATCATCATATCCACAGAACAAGCGACGCAGATATGAGACAGACATCTCTGTAGATCACTGCAGTTAATTCAGGGCCTTCAAATAGACCGTTGCAAAGATATACACATTTTAATAACATTAGAACCCCAACGCAAATATGCGACGGCAGTCTATTTTTATGTGACTAGTAGTTTATGGGTAGAATCCGGCCGTCTCATATGTGCGTCGCTGGTCCAAACAAATGAAAAAATTTATTCTATTGCAATAGCGAACAAGTTAATGTACACTGTATGTACAGCCCGGTCCTTCTTACCTGCTTAGTACATCTCTGGTGCACAGGAGACCGTTCCTGTGGTCCGGTGTCCTTATAAAAAAAACACAGTTTTAACTATGGTATCTTCCATGGTTTGGGAACTGCTGCCCTAACCTATTTGTCTTTGTTGAAATCTGTTTTCTCATAATTTGTCGGAAAGCCTAGTCTTAACCGGCTAACAAGAATGAGTAGTTAAAGGATCTTACATATTGATATTCATTGCCTGTTCTGTAAGTCTAAATCATTGCAATTTGCTGAAAAAAACTGAAACCTCTATGAGGTCAATTCTGTAATAATTTGAATCATATCCTTAATAAATTCTTTAACCTATCTATAATTCAGGGGGGAGGCCCAGGCTGAATTACGTAGGCATTAAATGCCTAATCATCTATTTAATGCCTTTAATAAAATGCCTACACATAAAATTATTGTTTCATTAGTTATATTACAAACTACCTACTAAACCTATTAACTAAACTATTTTTGTTTACTTTTAGACATGAGTTCCCAACAGCTCCCAAAAGAACTTGACGTAGTGGAACAGGTGAAAATCTATCAATGGATTGACCAACTTTTAATTCCTGCGAAGAGAGAAGAGGCTATGTTGGAACTCTGGTATGGGCGAGTCCTGGTGATGTGACCATTGACTTTGATATTAGTTGCAAGTTTAGTTTAACACATTCGCTGCGGGGGGCTCGGATTCGGGACACGCGTAGCGTACTGTGCATGCGCATGACCCGGGTCCGAGCCATCCAACCTTGTTCCATCCAACAAAAGCAGCCATTATGAGTCTAGTGTTTGACGATGAACGTTACTACTTGCTGAGCGTGGTCTGTAAATACAATAGAAATCTGTTTTTGCCGCCGCTCCTTAGTTTGGGCGCGCTCCGATTTTTTGCAGATTTTTAAGTTCGCGCTTGCTTTTATGTTAGTTTGCGCTTGTGTTTTTAGTCGTGTTTGGACTTTTTTATGTATTTAAATATTTGTTTCTTAGACTAAACTTTGTAAATTTGTAAATTGTTTCTTAGGTTGGTAGTAAATATCCCCGTAAAATCCCCGTCTGGCAATCTCAAAAACCTACTTTTTGTCCCGTCTTTTTCCCTCCATTTGGCAATACAATTCCAATGGGACCGGCTACGTTCCAAGCAGTGCTGCTATCTGTGGGTGTTTAGTGAACTATGTCGACTCTCGTTGTAAAGCAGGACATCACCACACGTTATTTGCAATTCGTCAGACCAAAATTGGAAAGCCAATTACACACGGCAATCGGGCTTGTTCGAAGCTGAGGGCTGCGCCGCACTGGGGATACGCCCGCCATTTGACGTGCAGCAGCGAATGTGTTAAATGTGTTTTTATTACTCTGGTATAGGCTAGTTTAAAAAAAACCCCTAGTAAAATACGAGTCCAAGCTTAACCTACGCATCAGAATTTATCTCTCTTAATTCTCCATTACCAAGTACGAACCAAATTGAGTTGTAACAGTTTTGCGAGTCTGGCACTATGAGTGAGCATCACTGTGGTTGACTGTAGTTCACCACAGACTTGTAGAGTACTTCAGTCAAAAGCAGAATTGTGAGCATTTTACTTAGTTACTTGGCTTGTTACCTCTCTAGTCATTCCACATTAAGTTGTACAGAATACTAAAATTTAGTCTAGAATTCAAGAAAAATAAGGCCTATTAATTAATTTTATTTTTTAGCCCTTAAAACATTATGGTTACTAGATCTAAGATGATATATAGGCCTACAGCCAATTGTTACCCTTTTATGGTTTATTGATTAAAAATTATAAAGTATGATAATTTTCCCAACCAGTTTTGGATCATGAATTTTGGTATTTTGCCCCTACATTGGAACCCATCCAGTTTAATTTATATTTTTACAATTCTTTAATTTATCATAATAAGGTTAGTAATCTGAAAAAAATCTTTAATCTTAACTATGTTTTACAGTCGTAGACGTGATTTGGTGCCGGAAATGGCGATCTGGGTGTGGAATGCGTTTGGGACAATAGCTGCATTGGTAGATGAGATCATGAAAATTTATCCAGCTGTCAACATGGCTTATCTATCTAGTGGACAGTCAAACCGAGTGTGCTGTGCCCTTGCCTTGCTGCAATGTGTGGCGTGTCATCCGGACACTCGTGATGCCTTCTTTAAATCACGGATTTCTCTGTTCCTTTATCCTTTCCTCAAAACAGAAACAATGTCTGGGCCATTTGAAAATCTACGCTTGACAAGCCTGGGGGTCATTGGCGCTATGGCCAAGGTAAGCAAATTGTTGGATTCCTTGTTTTTTTTCCTTTTATTGTCACAGTCTTGCTATGTGCACCGTGATTTGTAAATGTAGTGATGTTAAAATTTTTCGGTGATTGCCCCAGGGTTGTGCAATTGGGCTGTGGAATCCATTCAGACTAATTAATTTTCGGGCCAAGCTCCGGCTGGGTAATTCATATTGGAGGTGCGGGAGCCACTAAATTATAATCACAGAAAGCATTTGTGGAAATTGCACGAATAGTAATTGACAATATGGCTGATTTTGTGAGATTTGTAACAATTTTGCTGTGACCAAGGACGTTGTTTACAAAAATCATGAACCTTACTTTCGATCATGTTAAATTTTACCATAATTTAAAGTAAGGTTCAAGATTTTGCTGCGACCTCGGGATATATTGATCGTAGTATAAATGTGTTAACAATATGTGTTTGTTAATGTGATAATATATGTGTTAACAAATCAATAAAATCAACCCGATTTTGGCCCAAGACCCAAAGGTTATCGTATTTTACCTGACTTATGGTCTGCAGACCCTGACAAAGTAGTAATGTTTACACTGTCTACAATTGTTTACAAATTGTAAGTATAGTGATCTTGATTTTGTCCCAGGGTTGTGAGTTACAATAGGCCTTGGTAATTAGTGGTTTAGGTCTAGTTCTATACACATTTATACTAGAGATGTGTCCATACCAAAAATTATTGATTTTCACTACCAATACTAATACTGATAACTGAGAAATCAATTCAAAGTCAAAGTCAAAACATTCTTTATTCATTATAGTTTCACATTACATGAACTTGAATAGAGTCATAAGCTAAATTCAAAATTGCTTACTGCTAATTAAATACATAAAAAGAGTACTAAAATTACTTTACTTTTAATTTTAACAAAACCATGACTTTAAGGATTACAGTATTTGGAATTAAAATTAAGGTAGGCCTAACTGTTTTTTACTAATACTAAAGAATTCTGTTACTGAGTAGCAGGGAGTTCTTAAAAAATATTCTTTTAAGAGCTGCTTGAATTTATTAAATGTTGTTTCTTTTCGGATGTGAGCTAGTATAGACTGGAGAAATTTTAGCCCTATGTAAGATGTCTTTTTAGTGTAAAATTCGAGATTATGTCGAGGTAGGTTAATTTTTAATCTGGTGTTATATACTAATTGTTCTGTTGAGATGGATGATAGTTGGATCTGTTTTGCATAAATTATTGTTTCATAAATACAAACGTGAACAAGTTGGGAATAATTTTCAACTCTCTATGCCAATACCATTTTACTGAATATTAGTATCGATGTTAGTCTATCTATACGGATCGATTAACAACCCCTTTTTTATGTCATTATGTAAAGTAATTTTTGGGTGATGAAAGGAGATTTTGTATTAAAGAAAAATTAAATCAGCAACCAAAAATTTTAACAAGCAAATTCAAATGCAACTCCTTCTTAACACGTTAAATCAACACCATATAAAACAAAGTAAATGAGGATTTTGATAACAAATATCACAACAACAATGTTATAATAACTAGATCAAGCTCAAGAATAATCAGAAGTATTATAAAGAATAATCAAGAAGTATTGTACATGCAAGCTAAGATTTTCAATTGAAGTAGGCCTAGCTTAATTTATGATTATCCCCAGTTGAGGAGACATCTTCATCATCTACTATGATGAAAAATTTTGTGTTTGTGGTTTTTAATAAATAGTTTATTAATTTCATTTGATAGGTATGTAGCTACAAATATTTGCTTGTGTTTTTGTTGTCAGAAACGATGATTGCCCAATAAAGTTAATTTTTAAAAAGTATTTATCTTATCTGAGTTTTAAATTGGCTATCAAATCTAAAAATTGTAATCAACCTGCTACTTTTTAATTTTTGTATTTTTGGTGTACTTTTGTACTGATTAAATGATTATGATTACAGACTGGTAAAGAAGAAGTGATCCATTTCCTGTTAGCCACAGAAATAACTCCCCTTTGTCTCCGCATCATGGAGTCAGGATCTGAATTGCCCAAGACTCTCGCAACCTATATTCTTACGATGATACTCCTCGATGACACTGGGCTCAATTTCATCTGTGGCAAATACGAACGCTTTTCTGAGGTTGTTCTTGCTTTGGTAAGGAATCATTTATTACACTTGGTTCAACAAATTTTGGAGGTTTTAGGTGAAGTAATCAATCCCCTCCAATTGAATCCAGTCCTACCTTTAAAGCAATAACTCAATTTCTGAGGTTTTCCAAAACGTTCACTGCAGCATACATTAAGCAAAAAAATAAAATTGGTGGAGAACTTCCCTCCAAACCGCTGAAATTTTGTGAATTGAGTATAGTTCCCGAAAGTATTCACTTTTTTATGTGTGAACATATTCAAGTGGTTTTCGTCAATCAGGAGAATACCGCGGTAAAACGCAAATATATAAAAATAATAAGTATGGAAAATAATTTAAATTGTACTGGTTGTTGCACTCCCCTCTCTAAATCCAATTTTGTGCATTATTCTTTAAATAGTTTGTAACTAATCTGACTCTTTATTCCTTTATTCATCTACCTTGTGAACTTTATGAAACAGAATTCAATAAAAAAAAATCATACTGTACCATGTGTGGTTTAATGATCAATCCTGTACCGTCTTTTCCCACACCGTAGACTTCAACTATTATCACTTATTAATGTACACTTGAATTATTAAAACTCAATGGCATATCAATACTTTAACTTTTTATCTTACAGAAACAATTGGTGCACTATCTGGCCCAGAACCCATCTCCTCGTCTATTGAAATATGTTGTTCGTTGTTACCTGCGACTCTCAGAAACTGCTCGGTAGGTTGAGTTTGTTTTTGGTGACAGTTTTCTAATGTATAATAATGATGAGTTGCTTCTGCCTACCGCATGGTGTCCGAGTCTGCGCCTGGAACTGTGTCAAGCAGTTCACCCAGGCCATACACAGAACACAGGATTAAGAAGGTCGATCTTGATCGGCCTTAGTCTTTGGCAGAAAAAAATAGAAGGAAAGACCTAGCCCGAAGTAATGTGCTAAACAGTTCCAGGCTAGTGTACTAGGAGACGAGGGGGGTTTTTAGCCGGTAGTCCGGGGACATTGAGCCTGTGGGAGTCCGCTGTACTGAGAGGCCATTGAGCATCTCAGTGTGCTAAATGCATGTTTACCTTCTCCCCAAAAAAAACCCACACACCATTACATTGTGTATTTTATGCTGAATATGAATTCAAAGTCATACAAAATCTATGTGTTTTAGGATAGCATGTTTCATGCACTCTCTTATTTTACATAAAGTTAAATTATGTACTTGAGATATGATTGACAGCAATCCATGGGCTCGGATTATGCTCAGTAATAAACAAAGAAGATGTACTGTGCTCATCTAGGTGTGAGGACCCTTGAAAGTTGAATTAACACTATTTCTAGTTGCATAAAGATTTGTAGAAAAAATTTTGTATTCATTATATAAATATACAACTTTTGTCAAAAGTAATAAGTGTTACCAATTACTTTTTCAGAGGTAGAGAGGCTCTACGACTCTGTGCGCCAAAAGAGCTACGGGACGAAACTTTCACGTCGTTACCGCATGTGGACATGCAAGTTAAACATTGGCTGTTCAATTTCAACAGAAACCTGGCCACAAACCAGGTAATTGGGTCTTCCGGGATTGTACCACTGTAGCCTCAGGACCATTAACTCATGAACCTATTTAAGACTTATTTATGAGCTTTAAGACTTAGTTTCCATTTATTAAATCTCAAAACCTATTTTTAAAAACAAAAACAAAACTCAAAAATATGTATGATTTCCAAATTAAATGACCATCAAGGGTTTCAGCTATAGTTAGCTGGAATATTTTAAAACAAAAAATTGAGGATTTTGTGGAATGCGGTAAAGTTTTAAATTTAAGTTTGGAGGGATAAAGTAAAGTGTTTGTTTCATCTGCAAAATTACTTATTCTGTTTAAAAATTGTTGCTACTTTTATTTTTGTTTTGTTTTATTAAAAAAGGGAATGTAGCTTGAAATAAGCTACCTTAGCCACAGAAGGGTTTTTAGATCCAAGAAATTCTCATTTCCGAGTTAAATTATACGTTTTCATAGTTCATTTGCAGGTATACAAACATTACACAGTATGTATCAAGATTAATTATTTTAGATTGACAAATTTACGCCTAAATTTAAAATTTAAAATAGAAATATATTTTGGAAAGAATTTTAATTTTTTTTAAACTAATAATCATTTAATTTGGAAATCATACATATTTTTGAGTTTTTTTTTTTTTAATAGGTTTTGAGAATTAATAATCTGTACATAGTTTGAACTAAGAAAAGAAAGAAGAATATAATGTTAATTTTTATACAGCTTTATAAGAGAGAAATAAAAAATTGTTTGACAAATTTTGTCATCTTTTTTTATACCTTTCAAAGTTGTCAGTATGAAGTTGGCTGTTGATGTAGCGGCAAACAGGCTTTGACACTAATTTTATGGAAATTATAAATTAATAATTAAAACTTCCTTTGAAAGAAATGTTTGTCACAATACAGAAAGAAGAGTTAACCTACTACCATTCGGAATCAATGTTAGGATAATATGCAGCATTATTTGGCTTTATCTTTTGGCATTCTACATGTTATAAAACAATAAACAAATATAAACCTTAGAAAACAAAACAAGATGGAAGGAATTTCAAAAAAAAAAAGTTTGTATTTTGTAATATCTTATAGAGCCTAAATCATGATGCAGTATGAAGAAAGATATGGTACATCATGGCCAAAAGGTGTTTTTCAACCCTTGCTCACTATCCAATATTGTTGTTAAACAACTTTATCTACCTTTGAAAACAGTCACTTTAGCCTCTAGTGATGAAAACTATTAAAACATTTGATTTAAATTTTCTCATTTAAAAGGTTAATTTTCTCATTTAAAAGGTTTATAATTTACAATAGGTAAAAATATTTAGAAAAAAGTTAAAATAGTAATGTGAAAAGTTTAAACTGAGAAATGACTAAAACAAAGATTTCATGATAATAATGAAAACTTATTTCTAGTCTATAATATTACAATAAAATATGAATGAGAGAATCACTATTTTATATTGAATCTTTCAAGTTTTGTAAAAACCTGCTGAGGAATTTACTTCTCTGTATTCAACTTCCAAGAAGTCAAGCTTATGAATCAAAATGTAGCAACATCTGTAAACAAAACTCAAGTTGATTGAATGGAAGCAAATGGTATTCATACAGGTGGCGTCATCCTGTATTCCAGCTAATAGGAGGTCACGAGGAGTTTGTGGGGAGCGAGCTGGTCTAGTGGTTAGAGCGCGGGACTCTGGTTCCTGGGGTCCCGGGTTCAAACCCTGCCAAATCATCAATGGATTTTATCTTAGTGATATTGCCGTAACCCCTAGGTCTAGCCTGAAGTAATGTGAAAAACAATTCCGGGCTCGTGTCTAGCATCCTAGGAAAAAAATGAAAAAAAAACTATGAGGTTACGAATTGTGGATATTTATATGCACGCACTGTGGATGTGATACTCCTTGGTGTGGATTAACGTCCGCACGAGTGAGTACTACGACCACTATCCTGAAAATTAGACCAATTCGTATATACCAAGGCAAAAATGTGATTCGGATAACAGTAACAATAACCCTACTTTAGTGATATTTATAATCGGGAGGAATGACACCAGTACCTCTTTTTGAAAGATAAATTATTGATTCTAATTGTAAAAACTGCAAGCAGAAAAACCTAATCATTTACAGTGGAATCTCTTTAATCCGAACCCCCGTAAACGTAACGTCCACTAATCCGAACACCTAATTGTGCTGTACTCTATACACAGTGCAGTTTAAGTTCTATATTGTATTCTGTATTTAATGTACAGTACTGTTTATTCACTATGTTTACTACTGGGTTAAAAAAAAAAAACACCGTATTTTACTTTATAAAGCATTTTGAACTTTTCCTGTAACACTTACGATCAATTTTAGCCACGTTTTAGCTTTTGTTATGGAAAGACAACAATACATGTTCTGTAATCCGAACTATTCAATAGTCTGAACTACCTCCTGTCCCAATTAGTATGAATTAAAGAGGTTCTACTATATATACTAATCATTTGTTAGTGTTGAAAGGTATTTTGAGCTATGCTTATTTACAATTCCTAAAAATGACCTTATACGACTGAGTAGGTTACTAACATTTAGAAACGAAAATAGCATACACATAAAGACAGGTGTAAATAACGCTTTTATGTAGGCCTACCCCATAAATGAATAAATCGGTTTATAAATGAATATCGCGGTTTTAACACTATAACTTTTATACTATTAAACTTACTGCTATAAATAAAACATCAAATGAAAAAGCAACTCAAAAGAGTTTATGCCTTCTAAAGACACATTATTTAAAAAAATGATCAAATAGAGCTGTAGTTTTAATAGTACAAATTTAAAAAGAAATCTCAAACTTTTTCACCAAACTACGAAAGTTTACTTATTCTCCATAAGAATAGCATGGTAAATTAAATTTATGATTTTTTAAATTTTTTCCACTACCAATAATCGTTGAAATTAATTTTCGAAAAAATCAAATCAAATTTTTAACTGCCACATAAAATAAAGGAATGTCCCCCATTTAAAGTTTTCTCTAATTCTTACCGTTTCCAATATCCCAAAGGTGGCCTCCTTGAGTTGATCACCCTGTATATATAAAAATTTGAACGAATAGTGTTTTTAGCCTCTGGGGACATCAAAATGAAAACGTAAATCGGTCCCGGGCCAAGGTCTTACCATGAGACCTATGGTAATAGCTAATTCCCTATAGGGAAATTCGCTAAAAACAAGAAAGAGAACCTCACAGAGTGAAAGAGTGTTTTGATTACAAGGCTAATTTTGATATTTAATTGTCAAACACTAGTTAAATACTGGAGTTTGTAAGGGTCGGAGGTGTGGGCAGACGATCTTAATAAGGAGATATATAGGATGTGGCTTGCCCAAGTGCAGCGTCTGGCAGCACTAAGAGTAGCATCCGCCTACCGAACAGTGTTTGAACTCGCCGTCCTGGTGGCTGCTGGAGTCATCCTGGACTTCTACCTCACCCAATTTCTGACGGGTAACGGCTTTTTCCGGTTGTACCTGTTCAGGAAGACTCGATTGCATATACTGCCCAGGCATTCCCTATGTGTGGAACATATCTTTTTTCACTGCCAGTGTTAGGAAAGGCCCTGCCTGGAGGCTCAACAGTTAGTAGGACTGCTGTCGGTAGAAATTTGACTATGACTATGGACACGGTCATACGGATGATGACGGAGGGTGAGGACAATTGGACCTGTGTCACATTACATCCAGGGTATTCTCCGCGCCATGAAGTTCGACCTTGACCGGGATGCGGTGTAGGTCATAAAGAATCTAAATGCCAGAAACGGTGAGAGCCCTGAGGGCTTAGGTCACATGTTGGCCTGACTTGAAGTAGGTAATGTGGCAAACAATTCCAGGTTTGTGTCCAACAGAGTAGAGGGGGTTTTTAGTGAGTAGTCTGTGATTAATTTAGTAGTCTCACACTACAGGCTGGCTACCTGTGTGCGTAAAAGCATTTTCCTTCCTCTCCCTAAAGAAAAAAAATTTTAAATACACTGATAACGTTTTTGCTGCCATTGCCTTGTCCAATGTTGAATACAGTCTATGTTATTTACCAAATATGTTGATGATTGATCTTTTATAAGTATTTACATATAATGTTCCCATCAGTTTTCATATATCTCAAATGCTTTACTCCCACTATATTAGAATTTGTCACCAACTAGAGTACAGGAGGAGTTGAGTAGTCTACACATACTTACTTACTTACTGCTGGGGCGCTACAAATCGCAGTCGATTCTTCGCCTCATAGATCAGCCTCTTCCACGCCTCTCTGTCCGCTGCCATCTCCACTGTCCCTCCACACTGACTCACATCTCTCTTAACTTGGTCATACCATCTCATTTTTGGTCTACCCAGTGGACGCTTTCCAGTTGGTACAGCAGAACATACTTCCTTCAGTCTTGTTCCTTCTTCCCTTCGCAATACATGACCTAGCCAACCTAATCTTTTTGCCTTTATCAAAGCTATTATATCAGGGTCCTGGTATAACGCTCGTAGCTCTCTGTTTTTTCTAATCCGCCATTCTCCTTCTTCGTTTACTGGGCCGAATATTTTTCTTAGGACCTTGTTTTCAAAAACAATCAAGCGTCCTTCATTTCTCTTGGATAGGACCCAGGTCTCGCTTCCATACAATAATACTGGTTGAATAATGGTTTTATATATTCTTATTTTTGTATCAGATGATAGGAGTTTTGATGACAGAAGCTTCATACATGCACCTAAACATTTATTGACATTTGCTAATTTACTTAATATTTCTGTATCTTCTATGTTAAAGCTATTTACAGTAACTCCTAAGTATTTAAAGCTTTCTACTGGTTCAATTAAATAGTTGGCTATATTAAAATTGGTGCCTCTATTGATGGGATGTCGTCCAAACTTTATTATTTTGGTTTTTTCCTCATTTAGTTCCAAACCCACTTTTTTACATTCTTGGATAAACTTGTCGGCTAGAAAACACAAATCCTCCGACTTTTCAGCCAATATCACCACATCATCTGCAAAGGCCATGACATTTAAGTCTACACCCAATTTTAGGC